TGTCAGTACATCAGATAGACAAGAAAACTGACTGATAAAATCACGCGTGGCCTACGCCTCGGCATAGAGCGTTGTGATATACCATGCTGATTGTGCAGGTCACAGTGTGTGATCTTAATGGCGCCTTCTTCACGGCTTGGGTGTGAATTTTTTCGCAAGCCCAAAACGGTAATGAATGCCATCTCTGAAACGTTTGTTGTTTGCCCGATCGTGTTTTTATGTTCTTGGGTGTTAATGTGTCAGTTTGCTGAATGAGATTGGAGCCTTCGAAGTATTGTTTTCGAGGAATTGACATAGGATCCATCCAAAACGTTAAACTAAGAATATATCGGAGGTATGATGCACCTCTCTTGGTGAGCTGCTTATTTATGTACAGACGATGTGAAACAGTAGCGTTAGAAAGATAGGAAAACTAGCTGAAAGTTATCCAAACATTTTTTTTCTAAGTTATCCAAGGCAAACATGGCGTTATTAATTATCTCTTCGCCTCCTCTCTCTCTCCCTCTCTCTCTCTCTCCTCTCTCTCTCTCTCTCTCTCTCTCTTCTCTCTCTCTCTCTCTCTCTCTCTCTCTCTCTCTCTCTCTCTCTCTCTCTCTCTCTCTCTCTCTCTCTCTCTCTCTCTCTCTCTCTCTTCTCTCTCTCTCTCTCTCTCTCTCTCTCTCTCTCTCTCTCTCTCTCTCTCTCTCTCCTCTCTCTCTCTCTCTCTCTCTCTCCTCTCTCTCTCTCTCTCTCTCTCTCTCTCTCTCTCTCCTCTTCTCTCTCTCTCTTCTCTCTCTCTCTCTCTCTCTCTCTCTCCTCTCTCTCTCTCTCTCTCTCTCTCTCTCTCTCTCTCTCTCTCTCTCTCTCTCTCTCTCTCTCTCTCTCTCTCTCTCTCTCTCTCTCTCTCTCTCTCTCTCTCTCTCTCTCTCTCTCTCTCAGCACATCAATATGAAAGTATTTCTTTGATGAGATGCAGCTCATTCACGTTTGGAGAATGTGGGCTGGAGTTCATGTTAAATTTCCCCATTTATTGTTCGTAAAAAAACACGTTAAAATCCTTAAGATATCAGCACTTGCCGCTCTGTTCGTTGCCTGAGCCAATATGACCACCGCCTGTTTGTGTCTGCAGGCCCCGACCACTGGCCAACCATGGGCTTCTCCCAGTGCTCCGGGGAGCGGCAGTCTCCGATCAATGTCGTCACAAACCGCGTCATTCCCACAACCTTCAAGCCAATCACATTCCATCACTTCGACCAGATCCCGCTCAGCCTCAATTTTTCGAACAACCACCACTCAGGTAAGTTCACGGCGGCGCACATGCTGGCGGCTTGCTCCTGCCTTGACTCTTCCCCTATGTGTTCAGTATTACGCTCCATACGCGTAATACTGAATGAAAGGAAGGAAAACCAAAAACTGGGTCAGTGACCACTGAGAGGTCTCTGTGGAACAATATCTGCCCTAATTGCACCATGTGGTATATATCACAGTTCTGGAGAGTAGCAGTATATATATATATATATATATATATATATATATATATATATATATATATCTATGTAAGTATTAAAAACTTATTGGCGAAGGTAGCAGTTAACAGTACCATTAATGCAGCTTTCAACGTTTCGATACATTGCGTATCATCAGGAGTGCAATGGTACAAGTGCAATCAAGTTACAATTGAATATTAGAACATTCAACCGACACGCTCGACATAACAAGGGTCACATTTACACAAATGAACATGACCTCTCTTGACATAAACAGAACAGATTGCAAAATACAAAAGAAATCACGCGGCGAAATATCCCTTTGACTCCGTATGAAAAATGCTACCTCATAATTTGCAAATGATATACAGACCCCATGACAATTAATGGCGGCTTTTGTTGGTGAATGTGAAGTGATTCTGAAATCCTAAGATCAAGAGAATTGTTACAAAGTCCCAATACGGAAAAGTTTTCGATGTTTAAGTCAGTGTCACACGTAAATGAATAGTCGCGGATGGGCCTGGGTGAGGTGTCATGTTCACGACGAAAAAGGGTCCGGGTGAGGTGTCAAGTTCGCGGCGAAAAAGGGTCTGGGTGAGGTGTCAAGTTCAGGACGAAAAAGGGTCTGGGTGAGCCCGAATGCTTCCTGCACGGTCAGATCTCCCTAAATGTTGCTGCACTCTGCAATGGAAATTACGAAAGGTTGAACCCACACAAGATGTTCACACGAAGCACGACAATATTTATAAATGAATACAGAAACAGAACATTTGGGAAGCTTGTCTCTAAACTTAAAGAAAGATTCAACAGTAAAAGAGCTTGCAAATATGATTTTAATAGGCAGAAAATGGTAAAAACCTTGTGACACGTTTGCAGGCTCATTTGTCAGTTGTATCGACTGTTCCCAAAATATGGCGACATCAAATATCTGTTTAGCCTTTAGACTTAATGAACATGTCAACCATGTGTCCATGGCAAAGCCCCCACGGTTCATGGAACGACGATTGGCTTGCACGTGACTACACTTTCGAATAATATGTAGTTGTGATGTACTTAGACCCGGTTGTAGTTACATCACGGCTTGTGCCTTTAAAAGTGACGTCATCCTTAGGACACAAAAAACGCAAACCAAATGGTCCTGATAACAGCGTGGAAATGAAAGCTTGTAATATATACTTTTCAGCACTTTTTGGATTGAATGTATTTGCGGATTGCAGTTTGATCCACGGATCGGGCTAAATTGTAGGGTAAGCTTTCAATGATTGAAACTGGATGAAATGTTGAATATGCCAGCTGGCATGGATCAAGTGGACTGAAAACCAGTAAACTTGAAATGCTCACTACGTTGTCCCTCCCACCGCGCCGAATTGATATACTTCTCAGGGCTATAACTACATATGAACCCAAAGCACTAATCTTAAGGGCAGGGAATACAAAACCAGGACACATAACTCATTCATTTGCTTCATTTACTCAGCACTCGATGACCAGGTAACTCCAACAGATTGATACCAACTGGCGGTACACGTAGATCCAGCTTTGGAGACCATGTTTTATTTGTTCTACCAAGGCAGCTCAAGTGCTAATAACTAAGCTGTCGTAACCCGGTAGAGCTATCGTCATAGTAAGGGGGCACGGTAAGCTTAAGCTACGCATCCTGATCTTGTCAGCGATCTCATTGTTGCTAAGCGGGTGGCGTGGAGATTAGTATGTGAAAACTATCTTTGTTGGCAAAATAGAAGCAATAAAATGTTGGAACAAGGGTAAATAAGTGGGTGGTGGCACGCAATGAAAATAGTATCACAGTGGATAGCCTCACGTAGCCTCACAAGTTTTTTTCACTATGTAAGAAAGAAGGGATGCAAAGTAAGTTACTACGAAGCAGATATTATTGGTTGCTACGCGCTGTGACTAAATCAGGGCATCTATATAGCAAGTACGGGACGGATACCATAGGCCTACCCGGTCTCCCAGAGGAGAGTGGGCAGACATATGTGATTGGAGCGCGGACGGTTGCCGTGCCTGTCAGCTGACTGCGTGCTATTGTGGATCACGGCGAATGGTGTGCCGGAGCACTCCTCCCCTTTTCCTCTCCTTGTCGTTCCTCGACTGGTCTCCGACATACAGCATGCTTTCAAAACTATTTACTGTGCAGAAATGACGATGGAATGCCGCATTCCCTGTTAGGCATTTCTTTTGCAGGTGACACGAACCCCCTAATTACAGCTGCTTTTTCGCTGTACTGTCATAACCGTGTTCAGGCTTCAGTTGGCATGTTTGACGAAGGTGTCAGTTAGCCCTGCAAACGGAAGGCGGTACATATAAGCCCGAAAAGATCACTACCCTGGCATCAACGCCAAAGTTCCCTCGCCTTGCTTTCCAATGCCAGTTCCTGGAACCACTTCTGCACACGACGTGTGCTCGACATTTTGACACTATGTAAAACAGATGCATCGGAAAGATGAGGAAATTTCCATGCCTTGCCCTAAAGGATTTTGGAGAAACTACCAACGACCCAAGGGAGGCAGTGGAATAGGCACGGAAAACCAAAACTTTAGAGTGTCGGACAAGAGCTGATTGGCTGCCGGGCGAGAACTAGACTGGCCGGTTCGGGCTGCACATTATGCTGAAGACTTAACACGTCAAGAGCTCTGATATGAGTTTCGTAATTTTTTTCTGAAGGATGTCCTATGCAACAACAGACTTGCTTTAACCCAGGACAAAACGCAGACAAAATTGAACAGAAAACGGATACCCGTTGTCATCTGTATTGGGCCGTTTTAACTGACTGTGGCACTGAACGTTCCTTTCGAACAACCATCCTTGACCGTTAAGTGAAAGGTGTGAGGTTAAGCGGGAAGATGAGGTGCTTACTAATGTAAGCGCCTCATCTTTACTGATAGCGGAAAAGAGGGATGGAAGACTACACACATAGTTGCCTACCATCACGCTGGTACGCAAACAGGGCCATAGCCCATAAACGCCCATGCTCACACGCTCATACGCGCACACATACGCTTTGACGGACAGGGACACGCGTACGCACACGTACACGGACACACGCGCACGTACAACACACACACACACACATACACACGCACACGCGGACACCGAGACAGACACAGGCACGGCCTGACACAAACGTTACGTTGTAACGATAGTGAGCAATTCATGATTATTCCAATACGATTTCCTGATTGTGTTTGGACTAAAACAGGCTAATAACCGATTTTTCACTGATGATCTCCAATCATCCTATGGTAAACTTGTGGTTTTTCCATATCACTTTTTGCTTACGATATTTTACTATATGATCACTATCTTTCTTTCTTGCGCCACACAAAGTCTGTCCCATACGAGGCTTTGCCCAACATCATTTGTATAATAACTTTTCCGTATAATCTTTGCAAAGCTCTTTGCGATATTTGTCAAAATTATGTTTTCCTATCATTTTTTGCTTACGACCCGTTCCATCCTAATAGTTGGCCACACGAACGTTTACGCAGTAATGTGGTAATGCGCTAAATGGGCGGTACACTGCGCCAGTAATGCAATAAAAACACTACCTCGCGCAAATCAGCCGACATGTCACCGGGTCCACATGAATTTTGCGACAATTGCTTCCATGGACGTACAAAAGCGTATTGTTCCCCGCAGACCTCGTTCGAACATATCTGAAATGAATCCTATCTTCATGGTCGACAAAGTTGTACCGCTATTCAATGCGGCCACGGTCAATGACGTGCGTCGCTGATTTCTGAGTCCACACATCTTGTGTTAATGTCTGATGGCTGAGGCCCATTACAGCGACAGCAAAAATGAGCTGGGAAAGGTTGCCGATGATACAAGACGGGGGTCTTCCCGGCCGATACGAGGTGGTCAACTTCCACTTCCACTGGGGCGAAGACGACTTCAAGGGTTCGGAGCATACCATTGATGGCGAAAGGTGGGTATCTCCGTGTTGACGCGAAATCACTGTTTTTATCCCAACGATTTGTTCCATTAGTAGGTGGAGCAAATCGTCGTTGTAGATGTGAGCCGTTGCATATATATATATATATATATATATATATATATATATATATATATACCACGTGCTTTTTTGGCATGTCGGCTGCCGCTCGCCCGGCCGGCTCGCTCGCCGTGCAGTGTCCTTCAAAAACCGTTGCTGCTCCGAAACCAAAAAAGCTACGAGCACATTTGGTGTAAAACACACGCTATGAATGTTCCATAGGCTACTAAAAAATTGGACGCGATAGTAAAACATGCCAAATAGGCATCCTCAAAAATCCGTAAGAGGGGTCGCACACGGGTAAGGAGGAATATCTATTGCGTCAATGTTTACCAATGGAGGACCCCTTCTCCTCTAACCTCGTGATGCCGAAATGTGGTAAGAACCGTTTCTTCCAGGTGTCTGGCTTTACTGGACCGCAGATTAAACCAGCTTCGTACATAAGAACCACGTTGCACTATGACGTGTACATTGACACAATACTTCGGGCCAATTTTCAAATGGCATTGGCCCCCTGTTCAAACCAATCTGAAGGCGAAAATGGATCAAGTTCAAAACAATCTGTGGGGGAAAATAGATCAGGAAGCTTCTTTTGCCCTCTTGCCAGTGTGGGACAGAGCAGTGTTTTTAACGAAAATGGCACAAACGTTATGCGAGCTGCTTAGAAAACTTTTATTGTCTTTCAACCGTGAACCAGTCAGGCATCTTGGTTTAATACGTTGCTTGGAAAAGCACACATTCAATCTGGTCCGTGACACGGCTAGTTTCACAGCTCATCGCGGCCTTCAGCTCCCCCGTTGTGCAAATTCGGTTGACCTTTTCTTTGAGGCCGTCCCACATGAAGGAATCGACTAGACTGAAGCCTGATGAGGTGTGGGCCGATATGACGCCCGTCTTGCGGCCTATGTGGCGGTCCAGAAAAGGGCTGGCGACTGATCGAGCGAGCCTGGAGCGTCCTCGAGCGGTCACGAGCACGACTGGGACCGTGTCCTCGGCCGAACTTTGTCCCTCCAGAACGGCTCTAGCGCAGGGTCGACATAGCGCTCGCGGCTGTTGGTGGATGCTTCCCTCTGCACATCTGCAAGGAAGAGGAGATTAATGCTTCTCTCGTCGATTGGGTGCTTGTCAACAGACCTCACACAATCAGCTGAAGGCCGTGAGTGTCCACAAAGTTTTTGTTTTTCAAAAAGCTGCCTGTTGAAAGGCTTTCAGAGTACGTCCGAGTCAAATGTGCTGATTTGCTGGGTAAACAAGCTACGTCTAATTCCAACCAGTACCTAAGCTGCGCTTATGCTCGCCTGCCGCGACTCTCCGAACAGTGCCCGTTTTTCACGATCACAGCTATCCTCTGGAGATGCACGTGGTCTGCAAGAACACCAAGTACAAGGAGCTCTCCGACGCGCTTCTGCATTCGGATGGGCTCGCTGTCCTGGGAGTCATGTATGAGGTAAGTAACACTTATGCCGGTAGATGGTATGTGCAGGCATGTCATTTCCTGTCTCGGGTGAGGGTGGCGATGGAGCGGCCATTCGCCAGACATTAGGAAGAATGTGAGCCAAATTCGGGGGAAATCTGTTTTTGGCGTATTTTGGGGCATGTTTAGCTATTCACCAAGCTTAGCAGCCCAAATGATTTTGCGAAACTACGCACCGGGGTATGTATGGTGGGTAATAGCTGGAAAAAGTGGCTTCTCCGGTGGTTCCTCCGGGCTGTTATGCAGGAAGTGCTGTCACGCTGCTTCGAAGCTGAATTACATAAAGTTGGCTATTTCAGTTGAGTGGTATGTGGCCGTTCTTGCCACAGATGCACCAGCGGCGTGTCCGTTGGTCTGCGGCTAGTATCTGACTCAGTGCCAGCCAAACATCAAACTTTGCGTGCGAGGAAGAGCAGCAGCATTGGGTCTACAGGCACACTTGCATAGTTTTCACCATTCGCTCGAGCGAAAATCTCCGTTCAGACAGATAAGGGGACAAATTCTTTGGTTGCGTGATATAAGGTGTGAACCATGCGTCAGCACAGCATGCCCACTACGCGGAATTCGGATTAACGGTGGTCGCATATACGATACCCACACGCAGCGCATTGCACGTAGGTGATGCGTTGATAGCCAAAACAATTAATCCTCTGTTTCTGACTGCCTCCCGAGCCGTCGCCACGCTTCCGACATTTCATGAAATATTCATTGGGAAAAGGTTTCATCTTACACTTTGTATCTGAAGGTACCTACGTTAATGTGCTCAGCATATCCATCATGGTTATATGTTTTTATTATGGTTGAGGAACATGGCGAAGAATGGCATAAGACATACAATATATGCGATCAGCGCAATGGATGCAATTAATGAAATGAAGTAAATGAATGGACTGCAATGCATAAATGATTGTGAATTAATGTTAGTGAATTGAATGAATAGAATAAAGTGAATACATCTGAATGAATTAAATGGAATGCAAATACCAGCACGAATGAATTACATGAAAATATAAATGCGAATGATCTGACTGAAAATTCCTGCATGAAAGAATGAAAGGCAAATACCAGCGTGCATGAATGATATTTTTGTGGTTCGAAACCCCACCACCCCTCACTGGCTATGCCTGAACAGCACCTGAGCGCAATGGATGCCGTGCCTCAGACAGACCTCGCCTGGCAACGGCCGCTCGCAGCGTGTGGGGCGACGCCTCCCAGCGCCGATTATCACTGGCAGATCATGCATCGAGGACGTGCGGTTCGGCGCGCGACCCTGTTGTGTCCAGTCTGGAGCGTCGTCACGGGCCTCTGGCGCCCTGCAGGCCACAAATCCATGTGCATGAGCCGCGAGGCCATCGGATCGGCCCTCGGCAAGGGTGCTGCTGATATCAGATGCCGCAGCTGCCGGCGTCATTTGCATGCTATGGCGCCGTCGCTGGGGTACGACGCCTTGGCTGCAAAGGTGCACTGATGTGGTCACATTGAGCTCAGGGCTCCCACCGAACTTTCCTGTGTAATGTATTTAGTTGCGATTTCTGGCAGTGAAGAGAAAATTAGATACTTTTGCGACAAAGAAGGGTATCGTGTGAGGCATCGACAGCTAGTAGCTACACTGAATGCATTTTTTTGTTCATAGCTCTTCACGTACTTTTAACATCGAGATGGGTGTAGATCAAGCATACGTTGAGCGTTGTCATTTCAGTCATAGAACTGTTAGTTCTACTGAAATGCTTGGGACCGAATTTTCATTGCTGGAACTGCTGTTTTTGCAAACATGCTTTTACTGTGTGCTGTGCATGTTCAAATCAATCGTTCAAAATTTTCAACACTATGATCTGCGACAACCACTTCACGGAAGCACTTCAGCGAGCTAGCACTGGTCGCTGGCTTCGCATATAGCGAAGACGGCCGTAATCGGTGCGCCAATCAAAGATGGCAAGTGGATATCACGTGCTGCATGTTTCTATCAGGCTTTTGTGACGAACGACACCAGGGGTCGCCCCATTCACTATTGAAGTATTACGTCATAAGTCATATGACAAGATAAGAATCTAAGTACATCGATGACTTGTCGTGGACACATCGACTCTAGGGTCACATCCGGGCGAAGGAAGATATATTTTTATTTGGCTGAAGATCAGACAAATGCCTACGTTATGCCAGCTCACGGGGTTCGGTGCAAAGCGAGGGAGAGCGTAAAGTACGCTACGTGAACCGGCTAAGGTTTCCTGGAGGCAGAGGCAAGTAAAACAAAAACAGTGATTCCACATATTCACTTGTTCAATACAGACTGAGACATATACGCACATCCATATACAATACGGTGCGGTGCGTAGCGTTTATCAGCGGGGAAGTAAGCACGCGAAAAATAAAGTGCGAAGTAACCGTCGGGAAGCAGGGCTCGCGGAAGATAATGTGCATAATAGCATGATGCTACTGCAGGAGAACTGCTGCCCTTGAGACCGGTTTGTACGCTGTTCTGCATACTGATGTAATAGGTCACCCAGGTACGAAGTACCACCTTCGTACCACACCCAGGTACGAGGTCCCGCGTTGATCCAATACTTCTCGAAGATACTGGTCGAACTTTGCAAGAATTTGGACCCCAACTCAGACACAGGTGGCTACCATATATGAACGGAAGATCACAGGTGTGTTATTCCGGTCCTCTCGCTCGCTGTCATGCAGCTCTTCTAATCGCAGAGAGCAGCAGACGCAGTGTACGTCACTGGGTCAGAGGCCCTGCAAGAATATAAAGCAACGCATAAGGATCTTTGCCCTTCAACCAAGATCTATCATACATTATTAATACCCTGTGCAACGCTTTGACTCGAGGAGACGGACATATCTTGATGATTTGCTGATGGGGCTGCTGTTTTCCATCTCTTTTTCGGGTCGCGGTATTTTTATAGTGCTCGCTCTTGACCTAACGGTATACTTTCAAGGTAAAACGCATGACTAGGGTCATTTTTTCTGACTATCCAGTGAATACCTGGGAACAATTTCAACGCGCTTGAAATTGGGAACTTTTCCTAAATACCTTGGAGTACAGTTTGAATCGCAGTAAGGTACTGACATCATGTGGTGTCTATTATGCTCGAAACAAGTTGAGCTGTGTGGGAATCATATATAACACTCAAATAGGCCTGTGAAAGCCTAGACTTGGAAAACCCAATGCAACAACCCTCTTGTCATCTGGCTGCTAACCGATCACCCAAAACATTAGCCGCCCTCAGATTACGCAGGAGTGTAGCTAAGCCCTCGTGCCCGTACATTGCAAACGTTTTTATTGAATCCGTCTTAATGTTATATATCATCTTCTCTACAACGACAAAGTTTTGAGGGATTTTGGGCAAACTATCGACTTGATATCTCGTGGTCATTTTTTTGTTCTGTGGCGTAGAAAAAAGGGATCAGGCATGCAAACATGCTGCCGATGTTTGTACCCATGCTTACTATCATACGCAACAGCCGTTTTTAGATTGCTATCTGTCAAAAAGTGTATCAAAGAAAATACAGCTTTTTACCGCGGACTGGTCTACATTCCCAGCTTAGTGGCAGCTAACCACGCACAACTGCTCGTCGCTTGTTGAAACTCGCCTCACTAGACGTCGGAACGAGAGACGGAGTGTTTGGAGCCTAGTTATCGGACAAATGTTTCACCTGACCCCGCGGCGATCGGCGTGGGGGGAGTGTTTGGAGCCTAGCTATCGGACAAATGTCTCACCTCAACCCGCGGCGATCGGCGCGGGGTGAGGTGTTTGGAGCCTGGCTATCGGACAAATGTTTCACCTCAACCCGCGGCGACCGGCGCGGGGTGAGGTGTTACGAGCCTGGCTATCGGACAAATAATGTTTCACCTCAACCCGCGGCGACCGGCGCGGGGGGGAGTGTTTGGAGCCTGGCTATCGGACAAATGTTTCACCTCAACCCGCGGCGACCGGCGCGGGGTGAGGTGTTTGGAGCCTGGCTATCGGACAAATAATGTTTCACCTCAACCCGCGTCGACCGGCGCGGGGGGGAGTGTTTGGAGCCTGGCTATCGGACAAATGTTTCACCTCAACCCGCGGCGATCGGCGTGGGAGGCGTCGACAATAAATGAATTTGAGTGCTGATGGAGTCGCTGAACCCCCAAACATTGCTAAGAGACGTAATTTTTTACTCACCAAGCAGGCACACCCTACCCGACGTCTTAAAAGGAATGCTCCGCATTTGAAGATAGTAAGATAAACATCAGATATGATGAGAAAAGCTTACTTGTAACAATCGGTAAGCTTTCAGGGCTCAAAAACGAATCTAAGTAGCACAAATTCAAAAATGTGCTCCATAACATCATTGTTGATGGCGTCATTGAGTGGTTTATGACGACAGCAATACCTGGCAACATCTGGCAGTCAGACCTAAAAAATACCTCGAAACGCACGAAAGCTGACGCCTACCAGCCATTCTCATCGCGGGCGCTGTGTTGGGTGACGGAATAATGAATTAATTGTTTGTGGATTTTTTGTCTTGGTACCGGTAGTAACAGAAGCTTTGGCGGGCTGTTTTGACATACGTAACGTGGCGATCTCAAGTTTTTAGGGCGGATTATTAATATCAAAGCATGATATGTTGTGAAGACTGTCACATAGCGTCATGAATCTCTTACCGAAACCTGCCAAGGACTGTTGATGTCAATATTACATTGTCGACTTATCCTTGCCTGCAGTGCTGAAGTCCTGACATTGATATCATGTGATGTGCACGGTAGTTACTTTCTTTGTTATTTGTGACTGGAAATGCAGCTGTCTGCAAAAATTAATAAATACGTAGCATTGCTATGAATTAATTGCCAAAGCATTGCTAATTCTGTGGTAAAGATGGTACGGTCGAGCTACCAGGAATACTTTTCCTGCTTGGGATTATTTATGCAATTGCGAGTTAACCCTGATATAACCATTGTGGTGCAACATTCTTCTCGTTGGTGATAGTTCTTT